CAAGTGCCTTACTAGTAGTAACAAGAAGCTATTAGAATTAAGTTAATGTTAATAGCTTCTTGTTACTACTAGTAAGGCACTTGCTCCTAGAAGCGATGCACTTGTTACTAGTAGCTTCTTGTTACCGTAGGATCCGGACACGTTCACAAACAAGAAGCTATTAGAAACAATAAGCTACTAGGAACAAGTGCATCGCTTCTAGTAACAAGTGCCTTACTAGTAGTAACAAAAAGCTATTCGAATTAAGTTAAACATTAAACTAAAATCCTGGCTTCTTGTTACTACTAGTAAGGCACTTGTTACTACTAGCGATGCACTTGTTACTAGTAGCTTCTTGTTACCGTAGGATCCGGACACGTTCACAAAGCTAGTAAGGCACTTGTTTCTAATAGCTTTTTGTTACTAGTAGTAAGGCACCTGTTGCTAGTTGCGTGGCACCTGTTACTACTAGCTTAAAGTTCCTCTTCATCTAAGAGGAAAACAATGGCATCCACGATCTCGTTGTCCTGCAAGGATAAAACTCATCAGGCCCGCCCATTGAGGCCCACAGAACACTGGCTAGCGGCGGCTCCTCTGCTGATACCACAGCCACACAGCATTGCTCACATAGTTTGACCAAGTTCTGGCGGACTTCAGCCTGGCCAGCAAGAGAGCCACTTTGACTTTGATGAAGCGTTCTAGGCCGGTTCAACACAAAACATGTTCTACACGATGTATTTTGATCCTTTCTTTACGACACTGCGGCTGCGTCTTTGATCAAGGGATGCCATGATTGAACGCCTGCAAAAATTGTCTTGGCAAGAGACCCCAAACAGCGTCAAGTAGAAAAACAAGGTTCTCGGTTCCCTTGCCGCCCGACCACTCATCTTTTCGAGATTTGATACCTTTTTTTTGGGGGGGACAATAACGAACGATGTTGATGTTTTAGTTGACATGTGCAAACGATGTTGACGTTATGGTTGACATGTACAAACGATGTTGATGTTTTGGCTGACATGTACAAACGATGTTGAAGTTTTGGTTGACATGTACAAACGATGTTTATGTTTATGTTTACGTTGTGTTAATTCATTTGTCTTGTTTCTTTGTTTGTGACCACCGCTACTTGGACGACTTGTTGGATCTGGGCACTCGCTGGTCGACTGACTTTTGGGTTGCTTTGTCTTTGCACATAGCGCTAGATTCACATCGGTGTTTGGATTTCCAGTGTTTAGAAGAGTTTTCAGACTCGTCGAAAGATTGTTGGGATCACATTTGGTTACGTTATCACAAGGGTTCGATTCCACCATCAATCACGGTAGCATGTGTTGACACTTGCGCGGATGTCAGCTCCGAAAAAGTACGGGTCGCGTAAACGCACGAAAAACTTGATTCTCGCTGTGGCGAGATACACGAATCAAGACCGGATTACTGTAAATGTCAATCAGAATAAGGGTCTGCAAACCCATGGATTTCAAAACACTGCGAGGGTTACCAAATCTCACGCACTGGGTCAAAAAACATGAGCAGCCCTTGCACGGGCGGTGAGAAAGCCGTGAACCAAAAACGGTGGGTACTGTAAGCGAACTTCCGCACTCTAGAGCATACGCACACACACACACACACGAGAGCACACATGTGTGAAAAAACAGATTTGACGCATAAAACAGCACACAGGAACACATACAGTATTTGCACTTCGAGGTTCACAAAGTGCTGCGTCTGCAACGAAATATGCACTTCGAGAATCAGAGCGCCGGCTACGAAATCTGCACTTCGACGATCACTCAGTGCTGCGCTTGCTGCCACTTGCACTTCGAGATTCGCAGAGTGCTGTGCCTGCCAGGAAATGTGCAGCCAAAGTGCTACGCCTGGCACAAAAACTACGCAGCCTGCCACGAAGTGCACTTCCAAAATTTCCAAAGAACAGTTCACGATAGTTCAAGATGCCGAAAGCGAAGCTTTGCAAGGTACTTCTCCTCTGGAACCATATGTCCATAGTTCCTGAATGTTCCTGATTCCCTGCACCTGCCACGAAATCAGAGCACGCCAAGGCCACCGCCAAGTCCAACGGGCTCCGCCTGCCACAAAACCTGCACATCAAAGTACGGCGGCTCCGATCTCCTGCATCTGCCAGTCGACTTCAGTCCACCCAAACATAAGGATTCCTTTGCGCCTGCCACGAAAAGCCACCACCACACCAAGAGCGCAGTCGAGGAAAGCACTTGCTCGGGCCCACCAGTATGTGTAAGCCTGCGCAGTCAAAATGCACTTCCAAGATCTTGAGAGGCATAATGTGCTGCAACTGGCAGTGAAATAGCCTGATGTGAGCACCCACCTTAACCACTACCATAAGAACCCTTTGTGTGACCACACTGTTGGGGAACAAAAGACAAAACTCAAAACCAGTACAGTATATAGAAGATAGTGGAAGACTGGATAGTCAAGGCTCAAATTTGTGTTTTTTGTGTTCCCCGGAAGATGTCAAAGACAAAGACTCTATGCTACACCATCTTTGGTTCCAATATATCCACCTTCACTTCAATGCTCTCAGCCTTGGCTTCACATTGGAGGAGTTTCATGTAGAGCTCCTGCGCCCAGGCTGGGTCGTTGGAAAGGCACGGCTGGCTGGAAGGTAACAGAACCACCATGCCTCTTCGTCCGGCTCCAAAGGTGCCGGAAGCACCTCTGCCACCTCAGCTGTGCTTGGAACCGGAGCCGAACATGGCTGGGACCTTCGTCCCAAAACCTACTTGAAGGCAAACCCATGGCACCGATCATTTCGAGCTTTATGATGGAGGTTCGGGTGGCGCCAACCCATCAGACTCTGTCATGGAGTGTACGACGTGCATGAGCTCTTTTTCAGCGAACGTCCCACTTGCGCTATTGACAAACAAACATCCTGTGGCCCCATGCAATATGGTTCATGGGAGACACATGTGCGCCAAGGAGATCTAACATGTACACTAGTTTGTCACATCGGATGAGCCTTGACTGACAGCGATAATGCTAGGATTTTTTACGAAGCTTAGCAGCAAATAGCAACAGTACAACATCCAAACAATGTGAGATGTAGTGAGATCCATCTGTGCCAGGAAATGCCGGTTCCTGCTTCCACTCTGGTAGCTAACTCGCAGTCGATCCAAGGCACTGGTAGCTCTAAGTGTGCCAATTTGTAATCATTCACCAAAGCTTGCTGGACATCCTGATTGCCGCAAATCACACGGTTCACACACCGAAAATATCGTTTCACCAATCATTCAACGCTTTATTCCACGTCATAAACAAACAGCGGCTTAGGCCAACCGATCACGTAAATCTGTGGCAATCTCTCATTCAACATTTCCGTGTTTACTTCTGTACTGCTTGGACAACCTTGAGGCCAGCGGGAGGGGGTCGAAACCAGCCAAAGCGATAAGTTCATCTCCGCTGATCAAAATCAAAAATCCTGTCTTCCATACGGTTCGGTGGTCCTCATTTCGCTCTATGGAAGAGTCGGACGCTCCTGGGTTTGCCTGGCCAGTTATCTTCTTTGAAAGGAGGAAACGAAAAAGCTTCTTCTCGATTTGAGATGAACTCCTTGATGCTCTGCGTCTTGCTCCCTCATCACCCTCACCATCCCTCACCACTTTCGAAAGAAATGACTACCACGGCCTGAAAATGCCAATCACCCAGGGCGAGCACATGAGGCATAGTGCCACTTTCACCTGCGTGGATTAAAAGGGGAAAATGAATTCCCAACGGGGGGGAAATGGATAGAAGTTTCAAAAATCCTCCACCCCAAATGGGAGGTCTACATTGCAAATTCTAAGCTTTTCAAGAGCAATTTCAGGCGGCCCAATTGCGAATATTATACACCACTATTAAAGGTTTGCCAAGCCTGTGGAAGGCTTGGCAGAAGGGCGCAAAAGATGCACTGGTATTCCAATCTGCGGCAAAACCTGGAGCATATCTGGAATTTGATCAATCAATCTGATATCATACAGTACGAGTAACATGTACGGTATACACACAATACACTTGACGTAATTAAAGGAAACATAGAATCTCAAAAACAGTTCATATCCAAGAGCACGATCAGGAAATTCAAAGTTTCTGGGAACGTGGCCACTACTCCTTCGACTGAGTACTCCAAGTCCGCCTGCCCAAATGAAGGATCAAACCACTTGGCACAGATTCGAAATAGTTGCAAATGCCCAGGGGTACGTAGCTCATGAGTCTCTTTTATGTCTACAGTCTACATCACTCTACGTCTGGTTTCCCAAACTGGCCAGGTACGGTATGGTATTTGCACGGATTCACCCATTGACAACAACTAACTGACATGAAACGATGGCTCTTCTTAGCAGCCTACTAAAAATGTGAACATATGCATGCGGGCATGCCTGGAAGAGCTTGTGGCCAACTAGTCGCAAGCAAAACCTGAGTAGCCATCTTTGATCCTAAACTGTCTGGCCGCAAAGCTTGCTAACCTCTCTAACCTTTCAACCATATCTCCCGCTCAAGCCAGCCGCCAAGAGAACCAGCACGGAGGGCCGACGAAGCTGGTTTTACTATCTATACTTATACCCAGAGAAAAAATACACACAAAACATGTGGAGACGGTCCAGTTCTATTGAAAATCATTTTACCAGCGTTGCGCAATTTGTGAACCCATCTCTCCTAAGATATGTGCTTTCGCCAGCTAAGTTTTCCACCGCAAGTAGTCCTGCGAGGCTCACTTTAATGCACGATGCTAATATGAAGGCACGCACTGTAATCAACCTTCGTGTGCACAACCATTGAGAGAAGCAAACTCAGTTGGTTCCAAAATGACGCTGTCTACCTAAAGAAATTCTCAGACTAAAGAATTCGTAAGAACTGGTGATTGCCCTTTGACAAAGTCCAAACAGCAAAACGACACCTGTTACCTGTTACGCTTCTACAGCATTTCCCGCCAATAGGGTCATGGAAAGATGAATCAGTACGTGTGCTTGTCGTTGTTTGACTCATGCTATTTTCCACTAGGCCAGACGATTCCAATCCAATGTCTGAACACAAGAGCATTTGCCAGGCTGCGCTCACCTGAAACTCACGTGACCATGTGGCCGAGGACCAGCAGCGGGAAGGTATCGGGCATCGCTCATAACACACGTCAAACACATTGACTGCAACACCAGAAAAAAGGGCAAGCGCCGCATGTGCGCTGCAACCCTTTTTCAACCGCCGTGGAGCAGGGCTGTGCGAAGAACATGACTCTTGAGGCGGCAAGCAGGCCCGCAGCTTGCATACAAAGCAACCTCACACCTAATTACAGTATACGATATCCTTTACATATGCTTTTGTCTTTTCATCGTGCCTTCGTACCATCGCAACTGAAGCCACAAAACAAGAACAAAGAACAGCAATGGGGAACAGCACAATTCGACAATTTGCATGTAGCAAAATGATGCTTCCCTAGGCAATTAAGAGCGCCTGAAAAAACTGGGATGGACACCCTCTTTCACAGCAAACCAAATGGAAGCGATAGGTTCGACAAGTGTTTGTTTGTGCAAACATGTACAGTACACATACCAAAAATCATCAAAACATAACAAACATACTGTATCACAATATATACATAAAGTCACCTGAGAAGGGAAGGGGCGAAAGCCGGCCTCCGTAAGAAAACATCATATATGGATATGGGGGGTGAACTCGAGAGCGCACCGGGGCCGCTGTCAGGCATGAGGAAATAGAAGGCAAAGGTGGGAAGTCGCAGTACGGGCCGACATGACAGGCTCTCATTCACAGGTGCAGGGGTGGGGTGCCCCTTTTCTTTTGGGTCAACGGGCGTTTTCCAGATAGAAAAATAATTGCACCCTTGCCTGCTGTTTGTGTGTCTTGTCTTGTAGATGGACCCATAAAGTCGGCGTGCTGCTAAGAGTCGACCGGGGAAAGTTTACTGCCAAGATCATGTGATTGTTTAACTTCGGGGAAAGATTACCGTTGTTATGGGGGGAAGTCGACATTGCAGTCTACTGCTGTTGGAAATAGAAAACAAAATACACAGGTTGGGGGGGGTGCTTTTTCCTTTGGTTCAAGGGCGTTTTCAAGGTGAAAAAGGGCACCCCTAAGGAACTGAGGGGCGTTTGCCTGCTGTTTGTTACTCTTCTCCTGTCTCTTCACCACAAAACAAGGGGCACCAAGCTTGCTCAACGGACCATCGCCTTGCTTGTCACGGACTGCATTCTGTTCTCTCCCCTGTCCTCAATGGATAACATCCTTTCTGACGTTCCCTCCCACTCTGATTAGCCCCGAGAAAGTGAGATTGAGAGGCGCACATGTTACTTTCCTGCTGTATTTCCGACCTCAATTTTCCTGTCACATTGTCCCCTTCCCTCTCCTATCCTCTAGAGGTCACGTTCTCCCTACTCCTCTATACCCACAAGAAGACAGAGCGCTGGGCGACGCACTTCTCGCTTCCTGGTGAGCTCGACACCTCTTTTGCTATCACGTCCTCCCCCGCTATGCTCCTCCACATGAACTCCCACCCCATATGGGGTGCCCTTCCACGTCTGGTTAATATGCATCTTCACCATTCAAGCAGGGCAATGCCAAGCAACTCAACTGCCCTCTGCATTCTGTTCCCTCTCCTGTCCTCGACGGGTCACATCGTTTCTCAGTCCCTTCCACTCTTATTAGCCACAAGAAAACAGAGTGTTGGGAGACACGCATCTCACTTTCCAAAGGAGTTCCAACCACTTTTCATGTCCGGCCCGTTGTCCCCCCTTTCCTGTCCTCGATGCAACCCCCTAATACTCACTTCGTTCGCCCATCGACAACTCCGGCCTAGCCTATCGGCCTGCTTCGTTACAAACACATATATATATATAGTATATATACACACATTTCGGCAAACAAACACCTACCGTTTGGGAATGTTTGGGATGGGAGGGCAAAGCAGCCCATGTTGGGGAACGGATGACGCCCTTGGCTGGACCAGTCCTCTGCTCCAAGGAAACCACCAGCCACCAGCAGCAAGCGAGCCAGGCTGCCCATAGCCATCAAGGGTTCAGCTTGCACCTGAGATATACTGTATAGTATTGTATAGGTAAGTGCAAGATAAATCACATATCTCAGGCGAATGCCCCCACATTTCTCCAGTGACGAAAAACAACTCTTCATGAGTCAAGAAGATCAGAAATCATCCATCATGTCAATCACCTTGATTTTCAGTCTCCAGAACAACTTCTTGCCCTGGTTCTCTGAGAGGTGTGCCACATATTGCCCTCCGCACATCAAATCTGTTCGCCCTATTTCTGGCTCTTGGCCGACCTGCCAAGAAAGGTCAAGGGGCCGACTGCAAGACCACACAAGACTTCATCGATCCACACCCATACGAAATATGACAAACTGCAAGTCACCAAACTGAAGGTTGGCATGCTGCATGCTTGTTAAGCATGCTGGCTGCACTGATTGAGAGTGGCACAAAAGGCAAAAGGGCTCGGTGAGGACACGGAGACTCACATCTTGTCTCTCACGGTAGACGTGAACGGAGAACTTTTCCTCTTCCTCCACCACCTGAAACATATCCAAAACATCTCGTAGAAACAACATTACACAACCTGATTTTGTGTTTGATGCAAAACTCAAGCTACTGTAATACCTTGCAGCGAGTGCTCCAATATGCTCCAATAGTCTCGAGTATTGATGCGGAGGAGTGCTTGATTACATTTGATGACTCTTGTCAATCCTGCTATATACTTTGTGTTATACATTTGGTGACATTTGAGAACCCAAAAATGCTAAAGACCTGGCTTCCCCATGCTTCGCCTGAAGGAGCATCGCTGCGACGTCTTTGGGCATGCCATTCTGGAATGTCCTTTCACGCAGGAGCTTTTGTGGCACCTGGAGCCAAGTCGTTCGCGCCATGGTTCAAGTTTGGTGGTCGTCTTTGGTGATCGTCCAGTGTTACACTGTATCAATGCGAGGCAGTCAAGTACAAGAAAGACCTACTTCTCGTGATATATTTCACCAAGTTCCTGCAGAAAGTAAGCACAGGTTCTGGATGCAAAATGATGCAAACACTTAGTCATGTTCATCATTATCTTCAGATGATAACTCCTATCCCTTCTGATGACCCTACAAACTCAAAATCCCTGGAGCCTCCAAACGAATCAGCTCATTCGGTGTGCACAAACGCAGCTCCTCTTCTGCATTGGCCTGGGCAACATATGTCCGTCAGCTCTTGAGAGAGCAAAGGTCAAGCAACTTGACAAACAAATGCCAGCAAGTTGGCCTTTAAGAAGTTAGACGTTAGTACTATAATAAAATGTTGTTCGTCTTCGTTGTAATTTTCGACAACTGTCTTTTTCAACAGCGGACGGATTTGATGGGAGATTCATTCGAGAAGCCAAAACGTGGCTTGGCTCCGTTGGCTCTTGAGAAATGGCATCGGACCACTTTGAGAGAATCTTGGCCTGGCACCGGCAGAAGCGGCGGCACTGAAACGCAGCCCAAACAAGAAGCTACTAGTAGCTCCTGGCATTACTACTAGGAACAAGAAGCTACTAGTAGCAAAGGGCATTACCACTAGTAGCAAAGACGCTACACCTCCCCACGATCTACTTTCTGCTGTCAAAACATGGGGTGCCACCGCTGCCAGCCGAATGTGTTGTGGTCTAGGCCTGAGGTTCCAAGAAAAATCACTCGTAGTCACTAGTCTAGGCTGGTAAGAAATATCGACTGCTGAAAACTGCTAGTCCACTCATGCCTACTCACTCTGAAGAAACAACTTTGATCTGTAACCTTTGACGTACCCCGAAAGTGGCTAAGCTTTCTGCGGTTGGTGCAGCAGCTCTGGAGTTGCAGCTAAGTGCGGCAGCCTGAGTCAAGTTAAGCATCCATGAAGCAAAAAGCCAAAGATTGTCCACAAGGAAAGTCAGTGTTGGTAAAATGAGCAAGAAGCACTCCACAGGCCGCCACATTTTGAACACCCCGTGTCTATGAAGCTTCTCCACTGCTTTCCCACCAGCCTGCGCTGAAGCTGCTTGGAAGGAACCAACTTCATGCGAGTGAAAAGAGGGGAGAAAGAATGTGGCGTTGCCTCGCATAGGCAGCTAGCTAACCGCAAGCCCAGGTCCATTGATGCGGAGTCAAAAGACATCAGCCTGGGCAAAGCATGTCAGATGTTAGAGATGGCAAGAGTAATGTGAATCTGAACACCACCGCAAGTCCTGATTTGGCAGTGCGGCAAAGCAAACTACATGGGGTGCTGCAGGCAAGTTTGAATGCGTGGACGCATGTGGAAGGTCATTGTATCATGGTCAGGTAAAGAATATAGGATGCGGCCAAAATGTGTTTGGAAGTTGGCATGATATAGGATGACCAAACATGTTTGGATTCATTATCATGACCAAACGCTCCCGTGCCATGAGAGGATGTGTGGTAGTTGGCCAAAACGCTCCCATGCCTTTGGTCAACTGAGGATGCCACAAGCTGCGGCACAGCTGCACCAAGCTCTCCAACGATTCGCAGGGCAGCGGAGCAGCATGTTCACAGCCGAGTACAAGCACCTGGACAACGCGGAAACGCTCCCTTCAAATCCCTTCAATGGCTTGCAAATGATAGCCCATTTCTCTCGTCTACACGAAAGATCGGGAAGACCTTGAAAACGGATGTGTTTCTGAGAAAGCCAATCTTGGGAGAGTAAAGCGTTCTATGATGGTTTTATTAATGGATGCTGGCGTCGTATGTATATATATAATTGTATAATGTATAGACATATGACGAGCCCAAATGCGAAGTCCATCGATTCAAAGAGGAAATTGAGGAATCACGCAGGCGAAATGCCAACAAATGCATAGATATTCTCGGGCAAACAAGCAGTTGATCACGTGCAACCTCATGTGTGACTAAATCGTGCAAAGGAATCTGTACGACAACGCATGTATAAACTAGAGTTTTTAAGCAAAAGCAGCAACAAGACAAACCATAAATCATGGATGATCCTTGCGCCTATATACTTGATGTTTGGCAACTTTGATTGGGGCCAGCGATGGACACTGAACAATTTTTTCTATTTCCACCTTCCACCGAACTGAAGGGGATCGCCGAGTGGGCCGAAGTGGGAACATGACACGTACGTACGAATACAGTAAAGGTCTTATCATGACTTTTCTGATTTCGGACTTTTGAATCGGTGTTCGATTCCCGGTCGGAATAAGAGAGAACCGGAGATCGATCCGTCAAAATTGCGCTGCTCCCCGCAACTCCCAAACGATATGGAGGATGAGAGAGCAGTGATCTTGGGGCGGTTGAAGTCGATCCCTCGCTATTTTGATCTGAGGTTGACCCGGTTGACTCTGCCATCAGCAGCAGGATGTGGGCACCACTAGGACTAGAACATGCATGACAGGGACATATATTTAATTATATTTAATTATTATAGAATTGTCAAATATCCTCACTGACTTTGCTTAGTCAGCCAGCTCAGCCACTCAATAAAAGAGCGCCCCTGCAAAGCGTATGGGATCGTATGGGCTTAACTTTATGATTCGATGAGGCTCTTCAATGAGATTGGAAGCTTTAAACCTGAAGGGCAGAACAGCTGGCAACGATTCGGCAACGATCACGATGGACACATATGAAATGCCTAAGCCACTTGCCTGCACGAGCTGAGCATCCAGATTACGCTGGCTCTGCAACGAAGGTAGCATTTTGCTTGCCTCAAAGGCATAGGCATAGAATTCATCCGTCAATGCCAATGCTTTCTAAGAAAAATAGAATCAGTTCAGTTCAGTACAGTATATAGAAACCTCACCTGTGGTTTCCAAGGAATATCAAGCAACCAAAACCGATGGGACCAATCCTGTTGTTTGATCTCCAGCCACTTTACCGCACACACTTCTGCCCGACCGCTACCCTTCTCAAGCAACGGAACGTTCAGGACCCAAGGCTAGCCGCCAAAACCGAACATCGTGGCCTGCGTTCGTCACTGTTTCGTCCGACTTTTCCTTCCAGGGCGCGAGTGGCAACAAGGTCTGCACCGCCAGGGACCGGCGCAGCTTTCGCAGGGGCAACGGTTTCTGCAGCACCGCTTCTTCTCGAGGGACCTAGTAGGAATATGGTCAAGAAAACACACCAGCACTCCCTCTTTGAGGCTATCTTTGGACCACGCCCTTCCCACACGCATGTTCAGTCAGAGAATGTTCTTGTTGCAGCACGTTTGCCGCATCCATGTGTAAAAAGGAAATCCATGACAAGAAAGCACAACAACAACGACAACAACAACAACACCAACAACCACACCAACAGCAGCAGCAGCAGCAACAAGAAGGCAGAAGAAGAGACCAAAAACTTTGCAAAATCTCATCAGACTTTGTGCCCTTAAGGACCCGTAAAGCAAAGTTAAATTACACCAGCCAAACTCCTGGTTTTAAAGAAACTCCTTGACCATTGTGCCTGCCACTGAGCCCACGACCAAGTAGCCCAGCAAACTCTTCGCTGCATCTGGAAGCTTATGCTTTGGAACCTTGGGAGACCAGCCAGCAGAATAAGTTAAGGGTGCAGAACTGGAGCTCCATCATACGACAAGCATGTAGTACTTGCAGTATGTCCAATGTACTTACCTGAGAAAGGAGAGGACGAAAGCCAGCGAGAGACCAATATGGTAGTGCAAGACTGGGAGGAAAAAATAGCGGAGCACTTATTGTTGAATGCCTATAGCTTTCGTGGAACTTGTATCAATGTGGAGTAGATCAAGATCGGAGCACAGCATGAAGCGTTGAGTGTTTTAGGCTTTCTCGATTTTCCTGGCGCGGTGCTCTCTGGAGCGTCCCTGTTTGGTGGTCTACTTGAGAATCCGTGTAAAAATAAACGTCAGTGAAGACCAGGAGAAGGATGCCTGAAAGGTGGTTTTTGGTTGTTTTGAAATGTGTTTCATGCATCGTGCACCAATGCGAAGCTCGATAAAGAGCAGGGCTGGGAGAAAAAAAAGGAGAGCACTCATTCTTGAATGGTTGTAGTTTTCGTGGAGCTGGTATCACTGCGACGTAGATGAAGATCGGAGCGCAGCATGAAGTGTTGAATGTTTTTAGTAATCTTGATTTGCTTGGTGCGGCGCCTTCTGGAGCGTCCTTTGTTGGTGATTTGAAAATCCGTGCAAAAATAAACGTCAGTGAACACCAGGAGTGATGCCCGAAATGGTTTTTGTGTTGAAATATGTTTCGGGTATCGTGCATCAAAGCAGGGGTGGGAGGAAAAAATAGCAGAGCACCTATTATAGTCGAAAGCTTGTATAGGTTCGTGGGGCCGGTATCACTGCGACTGAGATCAACATCGGAGCACAGCGTGAAGTGTTGAACGCTTGCAGCTTTCTTGCTTCTCCTCTTGCCGCGCTCTTATCCCCAAGCCTCTACCTCGCCCAACTGGACATGCTCACATCGTTCGCCCAAGAGCGTTCACTCTTTGTTGCTTGGTCCTTCTTGGTATGATCAGAGCTACACAGTCCCTATGCCCTGCTCAGGACTAGAAACATTGTCTCCAGACCCCTTCGTGATGCTGATGATGTACTACTCGTTGTCCATTGCATCACTCGCATCACCAAACCCCATGTTCACTGCTTTTCTGACCCTCGCTTGGAGCGCTCTCCCCCAGCAAGCTCCGGGTTCACCCTCTCCCACCCCCTTAACTCACTTCGTTCGCTCTAAGAGCTCAAGCCCAGCCTATCGGCTGGCTTTCGTATATATATATATATGTTTCTCATTTTGTTCAATTGTTTCCTTTTCTTGATCTCAATGTCTGCAGCCAAGCTTCTTCAATGTCCGCAGGGTCGCAGCCGTAGTCCAAGAGCACCCGGACCACCTGATGCCAGTTGGAAGGGTACTGACCGCTGCAGTGCAACAGTGTAATGGATTGATGTTGTTTGCCAGACAACCATTGGTTCCTTCATGATTCAATATGATTCATCTGCAAGCAGATCGCCCCATTTCTACACAAGAGATAATCAACGAAGACCCCGCCAAGAAGGACCAAACAGCAAAGGCCAGCAGGGGAAAGATAAGGCTTTCCCCTAACAGTGATTGCTTGAGAGAAGACTTCAGGGGCTAGGATGAGGCTCTTGGTGGTGCATCTTCATACTTCTTCAGTTCCTCTAAAGTCACATCACACCAATGTGTCAAACTTCTTCCTCATCTTGCAGAACATAATATGTGGAAACAGAACTGCCTCAACAGTCACGACCGCTGTTTCCATGACGAAACAAGAGCAGGCTATAATAGGCTATATTACATTTTTCATGCAAGAATCGGCCCAAACCCACGAAATCCCCGTATATTTTGTGTTCCTCTAAAGACTCTGGGTCGCCTGAATCCCAAGTTTCTGGTCACTCCCAAGCGAGCCGAGCCCATCAGCTTGATGCCGTCAGAAGGGTGGACCGTTGAGCAAAATCTCACAATGACTCACAACTCGGTTGCCAAGCACTTCTTCCCGACCGAGACCTAAAACCCAAACAGATCGGGAGGCTTCCATAGGCTCCCCAACTGATTTTTTACAAATTTGACCAGCCCTTGATTTCACTTAGATTTCACTCTAAACGTGGAATTGCACGTTCTACGGCACGTCCTTGTCGTTCACATCTTTCTTGGTCTTGGAGAACGTTCCCCGCCCTTATTTTTCACCGAAAGAACACTGAACACAAAGACCGGCCTCCAATCTTCCGCATCGCGCGGCAATCGCCAAGGGAGGTCCCAAAGGTCCCTTCGAGGAGCGAGGACCTCGCACCGGAGCAGCATCCGAGAGGAACATCAGCCGACAAGAAAGAGGACATCGCAATGGAGATGTTGATGGTTCAGTCCAAAGATCTCAACATCTCATCAAGCCATCAACGTCCATTAAAAAAACCCTTGACCTGGACATCTCCGTGCGTCAGAGTTCTTCCGCACGGGGCTCCATGTTCTCTTCCGTTTGGGCACCCGGCAACCCCTTTCGAGCAGAAGCTCCACCATCTCTTGAGAACACTGATGTTCCACGGCCTCAAGGGCCGAAGAGCATGAAAGCTGCAGGACAATGCTTTTGGAAGCAAAACAGCAGAGATCCGGATTCGCACATGCTCAACTAATTGCAAACAGCCGTCAAGACAAGAGAACATATCACATCATCTATCAACTACTGTATCTGTCCCAATCCGTCTTTTGGACAAATCACCGCCACAACATGCAATAAGCACTCGGCCACAGCAAGGACGCTGTTGCCATGTCTATCAGCGGCAGTCAAATCTGCCCTGTCCTTGGAGAAACTCGATTGCAATTCTGATTCCCTTGTCATCCCTTTTCAGCTTTGGCAAGGCGTGAAACAAAGCAAACTAACTGTTTGTGCACCGAGGTCAAAGCCATAAGTACCCGCTTAGCCAAAAAGAGGTCGTTGCGCGGCAACGCGTGTTTCATGAGCCAGTCCTTGATCAATGCAGTGTACAATCTCAGACTTCCCAGCATATGGTGATAGAGAATGAAGATTGAAGGTAATAGGAAACTGCCACAGGACCTAAGAAAACCAAACCGGTCCACCGGGCCGGAACAAAGGCATTGTCTATGGCGCCTGGCCTGTGTCAGCACTATGGGAGAAGGCAGATTGGCCCTCTTCGGCAAGGGAACCTGGTAAAACGACACCAGAAGCTCACTCAGCTCATGCGGACAAAGCTGCAAGGGTCTTATGTCAATCATGGTCCTTTGTGTCCTTTAGCGACACTAGAGAATTCTGTACGAGATTTCAAGATTTTCTTGTCGCTGGTGGAACCACTGCTGGAAAGATAGAATTAAGCCTCCCACACATGCTGGCAGTGCTTCAGGAAGTGTCAAGGTAGTGATGCGGTCCTGGCCATCAAATACGGTGGCTATAAGTGTTGTCACGTGGTTGTAAGTTTTGTCTTTCACGACAACAATGATTTTGATGTCTTTCAGGTTTGGTTTCATCTTCAACAAAGAACCCAGCACTGTCAGATCTTGCAATAATGTCTCTCATCCCCGTAGACTGCTGATCAAGGACACATTAGAGGAGCTGCGCTCCAAACCCAACCTTATTGTGGCCAATCTGGTTTTGGTCACTGCTCGGGCTCAATCCTCAAGCTCATGAGTATCCCAGGCATCATCCATACTTAGCACAGATGCTGCCCAGCTGGACAAGTCTCTCAAGACTTCTACTTCGCCATGGTTTTGACTCAAGAGGCGGATGGTTGGAGCCAAACCTCACGGAGTTTTGCCGCAAGTCTTGCCGCAAGTCAGCTAGCGTCAAGCTACAGTGGGGTGTGACATTGGGAACACGTTTCAAAGAACCGCCCTATGTCAACTCTGAAGTCGCTCAGCTCTGAGTATACCTAAAGCCTTTGGTATGGTCGTTGTCTCAGCTTTGGAGCTGCCTAAGAGCTACAGCATTCTGGGTACAACTTCGACAGGGCGAGTGTCGCATTGAGTGAGTAGGCGGGCCGACTGAACAATATCAAACTGAAAAAAAAAAGCAAATTAATGTAGTTTGCTATTAAAAACACCTTAAAGCCATAAAGAACCGGACAAATTGTCCAATTGCCTGCTGAGAAGCTTTTGAAAGAGAGCATCAACAGCATTCCACCGTGCTGTCGCGGTCGAATGCGTTCTTGCCACTGTCCCAGTTCGTAGACTTTGCCTTTGTATTTGGGCAAACGCGGCCGACCATTTAACGTTTTGAGAGATCTTTTGGCATGTGACCATTGCACCCTTTCTATCCCTTTCTGCTTTTGAAGCATTGCAAGGCCCCCACTAGGTGACCAAATTGATCATATTCGGTGGACAAACATGCACTGCTGCACGTCTCGTTTGCCGAAAAGTGCCAACAGCATCCAAAAGCAAGTTCGGGTGACGCAACCATCGATCTCCACCTTCAGTTCGTTTCGATGAAAGGAACTCGTCGCCCTCCAGAGCCAAGAAAAGGAGTTGCAAGCAACGTACTGCAAAGTGGTCCTCATGCAAGGTGCTCACCTTGGAAAAGCGGTGGAAGCAGTTCTTGGTACAACAGTTCCATTTTGGCTCTAAAGGCTCTTTGTCTTTCACAACCCCAGCCTGTTCAACACGGCCACAGCTGATGCCCGCGAAGCAATAGGAATCATAACTCATAACCATCCATATCCCCGCGTGGTGAAAAAAACATGAAAAAAATATCAGTAAGCACGCGCGTATACCGGCGTTGTGGTGACCAGTGGCAACACACCTGAAATGTAGACACTTCCGGCTCTTTTTTAAAGATTTGGTCTCGTATATTAAGGTTGCCGGTAAGCCTGGGAGTGAGGTCACGACAGTCACATTGCAGTTCAACAAATTCTGAATCGACAGCATGCCTGATTGGAGCGGCTCGTCTACCGCTTTGCTTGAAACTTCACCACACAATGAAACATGTGGGTGTGCGGAATGGTTTTGTCGATGCACCTGGTCTTGCAAGTCTGTCAGGGCTGACTCTGCTTGTGAAAGCCCAGACCATCGTGCACACAAAGCACCAAGCACCGCTGAAGACAACCTCATGCTTGACCGCGAAGGTCACAGGCTGTGTCAGCTTGTGTACATGAAAGCGTGTGTAGCGGGGAGCTCAAGCTTTCCATATGCCGGATGCCTTCATTTCCTCCAGTTCCGCCTGCAAACGTTTTGGGATATTCGTAGATGTACGAGTAAAGAGAATACCAAGGCTGCCAAATGATGCTTGGCTGCTTTGATCAGTTGACAGGCTTTGAACACATGAAACATGGCCTCTTAAAAAACCCGACAGCTAGCTGTCTTCGTGGCTCAGGTATCATGCTGGGCTTTGTCAATTGTTCATCTTTGTAATGTGTCATGCATAATAAAGTTAAAAGAACATATATATATATAATATATATATATATTACAATATCATATATTAAAGCATATTGCAAAGCTATAAAGTCTGTGTCATTCTTCTGAAAATCCAAAATGAAGTGAGAGCAATGGACAATGTGCGCAATAGAAAGGTCCAGTAGGCTGCAATCCGGCAAGGTACATTTGTTCGTTCTTGGTTTGAGCATCATCTGCCCTTTTGCCACAGCTGCAGGAGAAGGCATGGCGCTCAAAGCCTGGCAAGAACTGCCATGTCATCTGTCCGCAGCTCGAGCAGCCCAGTGTCCGTGCAGGATCTGCGTATGCTGCTTCAAAGCTACAGCGGCAACACAGACAAATAAAGCCTGAAATACGAGGTGATGGTACGACAGGTAGCAGGCTTCCCAGAATGTTGCCTACTTTAGACTCAATTCATGTGACACTTGCCAAGGACATCACGTGCTTCAACAGGATTTTGCCTTCCCAAGTGCCTTTGAGGTACCACAACATTCTGCGTCTCAAGGACATTGGTGCCAAGGTCGTTTGAAGCTTCATATACGAAACTCCCAGGATGTCCCCAGCTTTGATTGGACGACAGGCTCGGAAGTGCCCTTCAAAGTCACCATCGAGGCCACGAACTGATGAATAAACCACGTTTGGTAAGCAGGAATGATTGATCATGGTGCCCCATTTCAACAAACCGCTGGTGTTCCCCGCCACTTTGCATGGATGACTATTCACACAGAATAGCCTTAGAAGCCGAGCGAGTGAAGCAAAGTCCAAGTCATCCAGCCAGGGGAGTTGCTGCTCCACCAGCCATTCAGCCACCCGGGAAGTGGATTGGAAGGTCTCAGAACATGGATGCATGGAATCTTGCATAGCAAGCACTTCTTGTTGCACCTCCACTTCGGAATTCATGAATTCGAACAAAAGCTTCAGGTGCTCGTTGTCAAAAATCACGGCCCGTGGAAAGCCTTCCTGAAAAGGAGCGTGGCAGCACTCTTGCAATTTTGCTATTTCTTTCTCAAAAGTTCCGGCAAGCCCACAGATTACGTATGGCCGAAACAATAGCTCCTAAAAGAGCAACACAGCTCCCTTTGCTCATGTGACTTGAGTACAGTGCTGGTTTTAGAATCTTTTCTGCAACATCTTGCCGCTCATGTGACATGATGTGTCTCTATATAAATTGGTATTACAGTAATTTACAGTACATTATTAAGTTTCAACTCTGGTTACACACGACGTGCCGGTGCAGTTTCGCACTTTCACCGGTCTCCTCTCCGAGGATCTCCACTGTTCCCACCTCTGGTGGCACAGGCCGAAACATCCCCAAGGGCGGCAGCTCTGCTGGCCCACGCAGCAGGAAGCGCTCCCGTAGCACCAAGTCCCCGACGGCAAAGTCTGCATCAGCCACCAACAGCTCCTCGACAGGTCGAGACTTGCAAAATGAGTGGGGAGTAGATCAAAGGTCTGTCGTGTTTGATGGCTGACCCTTCCTAGTTTGCAGGTGGTTCGGGTGGGTCTGGTAGTGTATAATGGAACCAAATATATGGCGGATGGTTGCAAATCCCCACTAAACCGTCCATTTGGGGGTGCCATGGTCGTAGCTCAAGTGGGTCACTTTGAGGGGATCAGCTATGATCAGTTGGACCGTGGAGAGCTGGATATTTTAGGGATTCATGGGGTCCAAGCAGTGATCTTCACACACATGAGCACAAATTGGTTGTCGGATGGGTTCTACATGGTTCTACCGTACTACCTTTCTTTTGCATGAAGCACATATATATATATATATACGGTATATAAATAGATCACGTTTGTCGAATGAAGCCAACACCTGGACCTGGTTCTCAGGTCTGTTGGAATCTTGAACTGTCTGATGGGGCCACAGTGCCACAGTGTAGAAAATATCTTAGATTCAAGCTTGCAACTTTTTCAATATCCCTTGTCTGGCATGGTCCTTAAAACTGGCGGTAAACTACTACCCTGTCTGGCAGCTATGGAATGAATGCCCTTACTGTAGTTGAAATCATATTTGCTAGGAAGCTGCCAATGTGGTAGGATGATACAAAAAACGATAAACACATTCAGCACAAGTTCTGATCAGTTCACCCTGGAACCATGTCCATGTCTCAAGTCCTATCCATTCTCGCCCTGCGCGTCACCCCTGCACGTCGGACGGGGTCCTCGACATCAGGCAGTCTCTCTAGACGGACCCCTTCAGGTGCATCACCGCGTGGGAGAGCTGCTGGCAGCATGGATCTTGTGGTGCCATGGAGAAGTTGGCAGGGACCGGATTGGCAGCTGGCTTGGTGAGATCTACACAATGCGAAACGAACAAGATTGAAACAGGCGGCACGCGGAAACACTTACAAAATACGAACATTCACAAACGAAATCACACTTCAACGATATTCAATGCAAATACTGGTGGCAGCGAGTTGCTGGCTCAATCTGAGGAGATCATTTTGTGGTATTATGAGCATCTATGAGCTGCTTAGGCTGTGCGGTGTGCGAATTTGTCTATGTTCTTTTTTGCTCCATTAGGCGGTCTTGAACCCAATGCTGTCTTGACTCCGACTCCACCAAACAACTTGCACAACAGAACCCCGTTCAGCGACATGACTCTTGGTATAGAAATCAAGGACTTTCTGAAAGACTCGCGAAGAACATATAAAAACACCGCATTGGACGTACCACCAAACTCCGTATTGAACGACCCACTTGAATAATTTTCTGCGTTGGGCTGCCTGAAGGACAGTGATGCGTTGGCCGCCAAGAAGCATCTGCACCTGGACAGAGTTCGCCTGGCCGTGAGAAACCCTGACAACATCCCCGCTCTAAAGTTTCGCAAACATAACCAACCAGTCATGATTCTGCTGTGTGCGTGATTGTATATATATATATATAAGAGTATCCCTCCTCACAGTAACAGTCGTTGAACACTTTCGCTACTAAACTTCACAGCAGTAGGAGCACCAGAAATGTCAAAAAAAACATCAGGCCACTTCAACACGATGTGATCTTTAATTGTGATCTGAAATTTGACTGTTGAACCCCGTGTCATCTCATCTCATTCATCTCATCTCACTCACTCCCATCATCTCTCTTTCAAGGCCCTCTCATCGCACTCACTCCCAGTCTTTTACCATGAATGCTGCCACCATGAACGCTGCTACCATGAATCAATGAATGCTGCTCCTTTGAAGATTCAAATGCATTGTGTTGCCTTGCCAGGGCCAACACTTATCTAGACTTATCTACAATCATGTGGCTGTTCCCGGGTATTGCTTTGCAAGTATGGCAGTATGGCGAAAGGGCTTGCAACTTGCATTTGTTGAGGTTATCAAGTAGCCAGCCTTTGTCATCCTTTGTTGTGCTTTGTTCGACCAACGTGCCATTTTCACTGAAAAGCTTTGCTCACAGTCACCTTCTGCAAAGCAGTCTGCGGGACCAAATGTAGTAAAGTTTGCAAACATCAATCTACTTCTGGCTCACGGATCTATTTTTCTGCACCTCTCATCTCTCTTTAACACTCCCCCCAGACTCCGGCATGGGCATGCGCATGAAACACTCACCTATATATAGGCTCACGGGCATTCTTTGCACTACTCTGCGTTGTCGAGAGTTGCTGCTGGCGCAGGTAGAACCATGGGCCGGAGGTGGCAGAATGCTAGATGAAAGAGTGGGACGCTGAAATGGGCGTGAAAACTGTTAACCAATTCTGTTCTCCCGGGTGTACGTCACAGCGACTCAAGTAAAATCTGTACACTTTGTATTCATCCAGGACCGACACTGAGGTGCCAAAAATCGAAGAACCTGCCAGGCACCAGAATAGCACAACTTCGGTGGCGGGAGGAGCACCAGAATAACACAACTTCGGTGGCGGGAGGAATAGCACAACTTCGGTGGCCGACCGAGCACCAGAATACACAACCTCGGTGGCGGAGGAACACCATGAATAGCGCAACTTCCAGCGCGCAATTCTCAATTTCTCGAGCCGGACATTCATTTACTTTAGTAAAGGGAAGGCGCCACCAGGCCGAAGGCCGGTCCGGACGTTTACTTTTGTAGGCGGACCTCTCCAGGCCAACCTGGCCCCAGCTGAAGCCAGCCACAGCCACAGCCCAACCAGACCTTTGCTCTAGCATCCTTGTTCCAGTAACAATGACTTCAGCTACCGAACCCTTTAACAGGTTCCAAAAGTTCATAATGCAGAGAGTCATGCTTGACCTCCAGTCACATAGAGGCCAGCCTTGTTCAGTACTTGAACTTAACTTGAACGCGAGCCTGTTTGAAACAACAGTAAGTGTGTTTTTGCCAAGGGCCACAGTGCACCGTAGGAGTGGACCACACGCTAGAGAGAGCTTAGAGAAAAGGCGGCTGCAGATTTAGAGTAAACTTGTCTAGTTTAGGGAGAGGTGAGTCTAAATATAGAAATCACCTTTTGGGGTCAAATTTTCTCATCTTTGTGCATGGTGTTAGCGTGCTGAGGGATGTTAATATATATATATATATGTATATTACTATATGATATATAATCACAAGCATACATCCGACGTGTCTGCCTGAATATAGATCATGGTCTGCACCCATTCAGTATTATATTGTGTCCACATGTTGGATTCTGTTTTCACCAAACAGGGCCGGTGTCTAATCGAGGTGTTGCGCGGGCGGGTGCGGCTAGTTCGTTGCTATTTACAGTGCATTCATGCCTCTCGAAATCCCCGAAGCGCATTTCAACTGCTCGCAAAATCTGGGCGCTTGTCCTGACTGCGCTCTTGTTGTGGCACCACGTGCATTTTCGGACATGGTGGTCAGGCAGGCGGAAGAGAAACCTCGTGCTTCGGTGGTCCACAGTCGACTTTTCGTGACAGGTGCAACGGATCAAAGCGGTTTTACTTCGACATGCAGATTTCTTGGAAAGTGCAGCGCTTTGGACATGGTGATGATCTTCGAGGCGCTCTGAATTCGTGACAGGTGACTTTTGGGCACGTGGCTCCTTCGCAGATTTCGTTGCAGGCGCAGTACTTTGTGGACCTTGAAGTGCAGATTTCGTGGCAGGCGCAGCACTTGGTGAACCTCGAAGTGCAAATTTCGTGGCAGGCGCAGCACTTGGTGAAACTCGAAGTGCAGATTTCGTCGCAGGTGCAGCACTTTGTGAACCTCAAGGTGCAGATTTCGTGGCAGGCGCAGCAGTTTGTGAACCTCGAGGCGCAGGCTGTGGGCCTCAAAGTGCAGGTTTCGTGGCAGGCGCAGCACTTTGTGCTCTCAGATGCTCACCCTCAATCTCACTCTCACTCCCACTCACTCTCTTACTCTCACTCACACTCACAGTCTTGCTCAATCGCTCACTCACTCAATCGCTCACTCGCTCACTCGCTCACTCGCTCGCTCGCTCACTCACTCACTCACTCACTCACTCACACTCTCCCTCTCACTCTCACACTCACACTCTCACAGTCACAGTCACGCTCACTCTCACACACTCATGCACACTCACTCACTCACTCACTCACTCACTCACTCGCACACTCGCACACTCACTCGCACTCACAGTCTCATTCACAGTCTCACTCACCGTCTCACTCACAGTCTCACTCACAGTCTCACTCACAGTCTCACTCAC